TGGTGCACAAAAATTGTTACGCGAAGAAGAACAACTGTGGGATTTCGACCGTATTGGCCAAGAGTGCGCACAACGAGGCATCGAATGGCTCTTCAACTGCCCCGCCAATCCATAAGCAGGAGGTCGCTGGGAGCGGTTAGTAAAGTGCGTAAAACGCCTCCTACAAAGAGTCCTAAAACAAGAGGCGCCACGCTTAGAAACCTTCAGGAGCGCCCTTATCGAAGCCGATAACGTGGTGAACAGTGGGCCACTTACCGAGATACCGATATCACTGCAGCACGAGGCGCCCCTAACGCCAAATCACTTCCCTATTGGATGTCTAAATTCCACTCAAACACCTTGCCTTGACGATCAATCTTTGTGTTTGCGAAAGCAGTGGCGATTTGCGCAAGCGTTGAAAGACCGATTATGGAAAAGGTGGACATGCGAGTACCTGCCATCATTGCTGCACCGTTCAAAATGGAGAGAGGTTGCTAAACCAGCTAGTCATCGTATGCGATCCGATTCTCCCACGTAGGCTTTAGACCAAAGGAAAGATAACTGAGGTTTTTGCAGCCAAAGATGGCCAGGTTCGATCAGCAGCAGTTCAAACTGGCCAAGGCATAGTACGACGACCAGCAAGTAAGCTAGCCGCTTTAGAGTTTAGCGAATCCCCATAAGGATTCACCGGGGGTAGGAATGTCACGACATCAGTATCACCTAATTTGTATTCATATCCACTAAGCACACAAAAATGCATCTCTGTAGCATCAAATTATGTTTAACTCAGCATCTTTAAGTCACTCAAGAGTGCTAAGCTCTCTTGCATAAGATACATATGTACATTAGTATGTATTTGCCTATTGGTGCTGCTATTCTCGCTTGCGCTTGTTATTGAAATTACTGTTAGGTATTGAAATTTCTGCAATTAGTTATATACTATTGTATGCATACCAATCTCACTTTGCAAATATATAATGTATTTTATTTTAAGCAGCTAGGCAAAATTTAACTTGCTATTCTTGCTTTTTTTATCAAGCAGCCGAGGAGACAGCACCAATTTTTTAACGCGCTCAACTTACTGTAATTATTAGCCAACAGTCAACTTTGGAAAATATAAAGCTGAGTTATAACGCTTTGCAATAAATCATAGAATTTTCGTAAAGTCGTATTTTTCTTTTCATTTGCGTACGTAATTAAAATATTTTTATTTTATTTCTACTTGAAATCAACGAAATTTTCTTTTAATATTCAGAGTGCTCGCAGCAAGTTATATTTTTTGCTCAGAAATCCACAGTTAAATTATAAAAAAAATAATAATAATTTTGTACAATACATTCAAAATTTTACCAACTTTTTCCTTTATTAGGGCCGTTAACTTTCATTATATGTTTCTATGTTGTTTTGATCTAAAGAGAGAGTAAATACTTGACGTACTTGCTATTACTCCACCAAAGTAGGTACTCTACTTTCCCACATCGCGTACGAGAGATGTTTGCTGCTGCCAAAAGGGAGTAGAAAATCTACTCTGTGTATACCTGTAAGTACTTGCGTTTTAAATTTCATTTCTAGTTGTTACCGTAGTAGTTGATATCGTTTGCTGCTCTGGTCACCGAAATTGAAAGAACAAAGTTATAAAATGGAAATTGACGATGTAAGGAAATGTTTACGGTCTTATTTATAGAAAATAACAAAGGTTTAAACAGTTGTGTAAAGTGACATTTTAAGCAATTTTTGTATTTAAGCAGCTTTTTAAATCTATGTACCGTTAATGTATTATTTCTGGCTTCTAATTTGGTGTAAAACTATTTACAGTCATTAACCGGCGAATAAGTTGTCATAAATAGCAACTTTAGCAATGCTACTATACGAAAAAAAATTATTAGTGGCGAATTCCAAATTTCAAAAGTTATTGCAAAAAGTAAAGTTTGGGAAGTATTTGGATTTATTATAAATGACTCAAATGAGAACATTCCAAATATTGTGGAGTGTAAAAGCTGCTTCAATGTATTTAAACACACCAAAAAATCTACTTCAAACTTGCTGAAACACAAATGCTTTGCTAACTATTCTGCAAAAAACGCCAGCGAAAACATGGCAAAAGTGGACCTAAGTGCAGATCATAAAAAAGAACTGTTAGAGATTGTAACGGAATGGGTTATTAAGAACTGCAGCCCGTACCAAATAGTAGATGACTTTGGCTTCAAAAACTTGTCGAGTATTTTATTGGCATTGGTGCAACATATGGACANAGTGCAGATCATAAAAAAGAACTGTTAGAGATTGTAACGGAATGGGTTATTAAGAACTGCAGACCGTACCAAATAGTAGATGACTTTGGCCTTCAAAAACTTGTCGAGTATTTTATTGGCATTGGTGCAACATATGGACAAATGTAAACATGCAGAGCGCGCTACCGCATCCGACTACGATTGCAAGGAATATTGACAATGTGTACCAGACGTATTTTCATAAAGCTAAGATCGATCTAGAACTTGCCAAACGTTATGGATATGGTCTGACAACGGATCTTTGGACAGATAACTATTTGAGGAAAACATATTTGGCGCTAACTGTTCATTATATTAGAAATGGATCTATGATAAACAAGCTTCTATGCACGGAGAAAAAAACACGAGTAAGCAAATTAATTAATTAATTAATTTTAAACATACATACATACATATGTTTGTACCTCTCCCTATGTTACACTTGTACAAAAATTCTTGAATGTAATTTAATACGGCTTAGTCTCTTTTAGGTAAATGTGCAATGTTTTATTATACCTTTCATGAGCATGAAATGGTATTATAACTTTGGTCCGATGTTTGTAAGTACCAGAACAAAAAGAGATAGACCCATGAAAATGTATACTTATATGATCAGAACGTCGAGCTGAGTTGATTTAGCCATGTCCGTCTGTCCGTCTGTCCGTCTGTC